GATGTATAATAGAGGTATATGTGGGAGTTTTGGTAATGTTTTTTATGATTTGCTCATGATTTTTTTTTTTTTATCAGGAATACATTTTGTATTTATCATAAATATTTTTTTATATGAATACATTTGACTGTGACGAAAGAAGACAAAGAAAGGGGGGGCAAGCCGGAGCACCCGGAGAGAACCCACACAGTCACGGGAGAGTATGGCAGCTCCATGCAGAAAGGTCTCCTTCTACAAGGGAACAGCACTGACCACTGCTCCACCGTGCAGCCCCACTCTGTTTACCAGGATCTAATCAATGCCAAGGTAGGAATCTACCTCAGAAAAAGGCCCTGGTATGGAGGCAGTGCTTTTTTATTTACAGGGAACCATAGAGTTTTATGGAGGGTGAGGGGTAATATTATGGACTGGATTACGGATGTTGTGAATGGGTCTGGGGAGTTAAGGGTTAAAGGAAGAATAATGAAAGTTAAAGGTAATGGTTATAGGGAAGGGGTTGGGGAGTTAATGTAAAGCGTGAAGGGAGGTAAAGGTTTGAGATTCAGTAAATGTTTTTGTCAGTTTTAAGTTTGTTTGGAGGACAGTTTTCTTGAGTTTTAGCAGAAATTATTTTTCTGACTTATGGCTTTTAAAGAGGTTGACAATTCTTTTCCTTAAAGATTTCTTTTCTGGTTTTCTTTCTATCTCCTATTGCAGATTTTTGAGCTCCTCCATAAGGCTCTCTGTTACTTTGTTCTTCTCCTCCTCCATCTCTTTCAGAGTCTTCTGAGCATCTTTAACTTTCTTTCGAAGGCAGTACTTCTCTGTTTCCCACTGCTCCCTTTCATAATAAAGAACCTCCTCAAGCTCTTCAATAGCTACGTCCAGATTTCTAATAGTGTTCTGCTGCTGAACACTCCTGAGCAGCGTTCCCTTGCTTAGGAGACAGAACTTTTCACGGTCCCAGAGCCTTGTTTGCTTCTTCATATCTTTTTCCATCTTCAGCAAAGCAGCCTTTAAGTCACTGGTTTCCTGCTCTTTCTCAGCTAAGCAGGTATCAGCCTCCTTTGTTCTGGCTTTCTCAGCAAGCAGACTCGTTTCCAGTTCCATGATTTTTCTTGCAGCGTCCTGATGTAATTGGTCGTTTTCCTGCTCTTTCAGACGCAGAGAAGCGTTTTCCTGTTCTAACTCAGCTTTCTGTAACTCCAACTGCATTTTCAGCTCTTCCACCTCATCCCTTTGTTGTTGGTTAGCCATAAGTTGGCATTTTTCTTCCTCCCACTGGTGCTGCTGTTCCTCCAAGTCTTTCTCCATTTTGACCAAAGTAGCCTTTATTTCACTGGTTTCCTGCACTTGTTTGGCTAAGCAGATCTCAGCCTCCTTTGCTTTTGCCGACTCAGCAAGAAGAGCTGCCCCCATTTCCTTAATTTGTCCTAATAATCTGGTGTTTTCTTTTTGAAGTGCTGCTCTCCCATCTTCTGTGGACTTTAAGTTGAGGTCAGCTTCCTGTACTGATTTTCTCTGCAGGTTTTCAGATAATTTGATGTTTTCTTGTTGAAGTGCTGTGATCTGCTTATCTTTTGAGCTTATGCAGATCACAGCTTCCTGCACCCTTTCCTTCATACAAATTGCCACGGTTTCCAGGTGTCCCGGTTTTTCATTGGCAGATTTAAGCCCTGCTTCCATTTTCTGAAGCTCAGCAGCATGTCTCTGCAGTTTTTCCCATAATCTAATATTTTCTTGTTGAAGCGCTGCCATTTTCTCATCCTGCGGCACCTTTTTCCTTTCAGCGGTTAGCTCAGACTCCAACTGCCTAGCTTTCTCGTTGGTATTCTGACGCGCTGCCTCCATTTTCTGAGGCACAGCAACAAGACTCTTGATGGTTTCTGATAACTTGATGTTTTCTTGCTGTAATGCTGTGATCGTCTCGTCTTTTGAGCGTAAGTAGATCTCTGCTTCCTGCACCTTTTTCCTTTCAGCAGTTAGCTCAGACTCCAGCTGCTTAGCTCGTTCATTGGTATGTCCAAACCCGGCATCCATTGTCTGAGGCCCGGCAGCAGAAGTCTTGATGTTTTCTGACAGCTTCTTGATTTCTTGTTGCAATGCCGTGATCGTCTCGTCTTTTGACCTTATGCAGATCGCAGCTTCCTGCATCCTTTGCATGTTAGCATTCAGCACAATCTGAAGCTGGCTAGCTTTCCCGTTGCTATGTTGATGAACTGCCTCTAATTTGTTAAGCTCAGCAGTGAGAACATTCACATGTTGGGATAGTCTGATGTTTTCATTGTGAAGTCCTGTGATTGTCCAGTCTCTGGAGCTTAAGGCGGCTTGAAAGTCTATCTCAGAAGTCATGATACTACCTCCTGTATTTATCTCAGCTGCATATCCTTGAACAGCGGCCTTACCTGGAACATGTAAAAGTACAATTTTTCTTGGTTCTTCCGGCTTTGCAGGATAAGCTGGTCTCTTAACAGGAGCTGGGGTTGGCTGCAATGGGTTCACCACAGGCTTGGAAGCACAAACTTGACTCAAAGTGTGTCCCACTGCTACTCTTGGAGTGTTTTCTGGATGTTTAGGACCTTTAATAACTGGGGCCAAAAATGCATTTCCAGAAGAGTTTGCAGCTATGCTACCAGATGTAACTTCCATAGTATTTTCTACTAGAGATTGCGCCCACATGTTGGCTTTAACTGGAGGCACCATGTTTGACTGACCTGATTTATGAACAAAGAAAGAGGAATTGGCAAATTCCAACGTTTGTTGCTGATTCAAGGCAGCCTTCTAAGCGCGACAAAAATTTGTTGGTTGGTTTGAAACACAAAGCTATATTTTCAACAAAAAAGCTGGACTGATTTGCTCCGTTGGAAAACAAAAACTGTTTCTCTAATCAAAGGACGTAAGTCAAGAGACGCTAACCATACGAGAGGTTTCAGGAAATGGAATGACTTAATGTCTGCAGTCTGCACTATACTTGTAGTCTGACAGAGTCACAAGTGATGATGTCACAAGTTGGACTGAACCATTTAAGTTGGACTGAACCATTTAAGTTGGACTGAACCATTTAATTAAACAAAAACAATATAAAACCTCCTTTCTGGTTTTGGGAAAAAACAATATTAACAGATGGATCGAGCTGAGAGAACGGGAGGGAACAGACATTTAAACGAGGTTTGACAGATAATAAGGGGTAAGACCATGTAAACACTTGAAATAAAACAACTTTAAAATCAATACCCAAACAATTCCAAACCAATGAACAGAGGCTGAAACAGGAGTGATATATGTTCTTGTTTTCTTTACCAGTCACAGTGTTTTAAACCAGCTAAAGTTGATTCTTTGCTCAGCCCAACATAAAGACCATTATAATAACCTAGCCGAGTCGTAAAAGAAGCATCACATATGGTCCTCACTACGCTGAATGTGTGTGTGTGCGTGCGTGTGAGCGTGCGTGCGCGTGTGGTCTTGTTTTACCTACATGCGAGGACTTACAGGTACATATGGGGACATTTGGGTAAGGTTTAGGACTAAGGTGTGAATTCAGTTTAGGTTAGGATTAGGTACATCTTAGGGTAAGGGTCTGGGTTAGGCCATATAAAATGAATGCAATTCAATGAAATCACCCCATATGTCATGAAAACAAAGCTGTTTGTGTGCGTGTGTGCGTGTGTGTGTGTGGGTGTGTGTGTGTGTGTGTGTGTGTGTGTGTGTGGGGGGGGGGGGTTGTTTGTCTTTGTGTTGACCTGCGATATACTGGTCTGTGTATTGACCTGTCCAGGGTGTACCACCCGCCTCTCACCAGCACCCCTCACAACCCCAGCCGGGATAAGCGTGGTGAAAAATGGATGGGTGGATGTGTACTCCACGTTCAATCATTTTAAAGCCTTTCCTTTATTCATTCATTTATTAAAAGAGAAATTAAATAATCTTGAAGTAAAAACTAAGTTGGCAAAACTACGTCTATAAATAACTACTAAAGGCAATTTTCTTGCTTCTTTGAACTGTGTTGGTTCACATCTGACTCAGAGTTTCTGCTTATTGCACATAAATGCATTTGGCATCCTGCCACACAATAATTCTGCTGCCAAAGCTTCTTGCAGTGTAAACACTTAGTTTTGCCTATCTTACCTCGAGTGCAGAAAAATGCAACTGATCCTGCTATTTATAAGAATAATACAGTAGTCAAAATGTCAAAGAGTGAAAAATCCTCTACACATATCATTTGACAACTCATTCAGCCACTTGTAGCAGTAATTACTCTCAGTGATCTATTTTTATCATTCTCTCATTTCATTGGAAACCAATTTTGACCCCTTTTTTTAGCAGCAAAGTGCAATAAAGCTGAGATCTATTGGACTGAACCATTATAACATCTTGATTATTTATTCTGTTCTAGTTTAATTTTGTTTCCTGTCAAAAGGAGATTGTTCTGAGGTTCATCTTAAAGTTCTGCTCTGTTCTTTTTCATGGAGTCTCTCCTCAAACCTTCCAATGTACTTGTTAATGTTGTTGATCATTGTATTACTTTTTAAAGAGTAAAGCCTTATATAGTGTAAGAGGTCCGAACAGGACTTCTAATGTTGGTTTATATGCTAACTGATGTTACAAATTTACTGACTAATGAAAACAAATTTACTAACTATCTGTTAACTGGATAAATAATATTTAATTTCATCCAGCTTGACGAGAAAACAGTCAGCAGAACCTCTGTAACTCAGGATAGCAGCGATAAATGAATAAAGATCTGAACTATAACTGTTTTTTATCAACTTTATTGGTACAGAAATACCATTCTATGGTGCAGAAAAACTGAATTTTAACATTGCAATTCTGTACCTGAAAAAGGCAAAGAATGTGAGGAAAATCAGGAGACCTGTCAGAACGACTGGAAATGCAGCACATCTGGCAGCAGCTGGAAAAGAACATGTGAATGTGTGTGAGTGTGTGTGTGAGCGTGTGTGGGTGGGTGTGAGAGGGAGAGTCAGAGATGGGCGTGAGTTGTGGTCTACAGATATCACAACATTCAAAGCTGTTAGAGATACAGACTAACATCAAGACAAACAGCACCATCTTCATACCACCACTGAGGGCATCAGAGTGGATCACAGGCTCATCGCTGACAGGGAAGGTCTGACTGTCTCCACACCGTTCTAACTGTGAGTATTTCATCATTTTTCCAAAACGGATTCCAGATTTAGTTTTTTCCTCCACTGTTATGCAAGCTTTCAAAGAGCCTCCAATTTCACAGCCACAATCTTTAACAGGCAAAGTTGAGCATGACTTTCTCTGCCACAGTTATTGTGTGTGTGATCAGTTTTCAGAGGCTCCAGATCTGATAAAAACATGTTTAATAGAAGATGAATACATTCAGGGTTTTTTTAGTGATTGAAAAACAAGACAGTAGGCAAGATAGTTGTCTTTTATTTGTAATTTCCCTCCAATTGGGGTTTCTGCCTATAACTTGTCTTATTTTTTTGTATGAAAGAATGTGACCCGGGTTAAAGGAAAGAAGCAAATAGGAGTTTGGTTCCAGGTGTTCATGGATGCACACTAATACTAAATAATAAGCTGCAGCTACAGATATATACCCCCCAGAATAATATTGTGTAATCGCTATAGGTTTTTGCCTTCCCCACACATGGATATCTAAGAGATAGCTGCTGCTCTGGAAGCTTTTTGCTATGTTTCCTTTGGATGTCTTCTTTTTGCTGTTGTTATGTCCTCTGTTTATTTTGTCCCTCTTGTTTTATACAGGTGTGGAAACGGACTTCAAGGAGTTACTGTATATCTTCTGTGTTGTCTATTTGTGTTGTTTTATTTTATTTTCTCTCATTTTATTGCACTCTTTACTATTTCAATTTCTTTTTCTCTCCCATTAGTTTTTAACCCCTCTTTCTTTCTAACCTCCCTTTCTGTTTACACCTCTGTTGTATACGATTTTACTGCCTAAAAAATGTCAATACATTTTCATATACAAGTTTCAAGCGGAATCTTATGGCATATGGCTGCTTGTGAAAGCAAAGCGGTTGGGCGAGACAGGACACACACAAAAAAGTTAATTTTTCAGATTATACTAGAATAGACAAACTGTAAATTTATTTATAAAACATTCAACCTAATGGGATATTTTATTCCAGAGATCTAAGACATAGATCAAGTTGACTGAACTGATCTTATAGTAAAATAATAAGTTTAGTAGATTTCTCCACTGTGAGATCAATAAAATCAATATAGTTACCTCCTGCGTGTTATTTTATTTTATTGCCTGTAAATATAATTTTCCTGAGCCAGCTGAAACACGCCGGTTTTAGCCCCTCCACTTTCACAAAGACTGGAGTTTGGAAAAGTCTTTATACTTGAACTATTATGCATGTTTGTCAAATTTAAACCATAAAAACAAATGCATTTTATTGGGATTTTATGTGACAGCTCAACACAAAGAAGTGTCACAAAGTGGAGGAAAAAGGATACATGCTATCCTTATGTTTTACAAATAAAAAATTCAGAAATGTGAATTCAATCCAATTTTTTCTTTTGTTACGCACTGATAAAACAATCACAGCTGAATCTGTATTCAGCCACATATGAATATTGAACTGAATACTGAATACTCTGTAGAGTCCATTTTCGCTTCTTTTACATGTGCGGGTCTTTAAGGATATGTCCGCACTGGAGATGTTGATATTTTTCCCAGCTTCTCTTAAACATTGCTTGAAATCAGTAAGATTTGATGGGGGGTGTCTGGTAAAAATCTTAATGTTTTGCCTCAGGTTCAAAGTTGGATTGTCAACAACTTACATCAGTTCCACATATCTGGAACAACATCAAACCTTAAGCAGATGATCAATTGCTAAACACATTTATCTGTCAGACACAACACCAGTGAAGCTGCCAAGTAACAGAAACAAACATATGATTCCCTAGAAACCGTGTAAACTGAACTAGTTGAAATGATTCTGGGGTCTGTAAAATAATGGACCTTTTCCAATAGTTTCTAGAAGTTTTTTTTTTTTTTTTTTTTTTTACTTTGTCATTAAAAAACATTAAGGGGAAACATGACTTTTTTGGTACCTTGTTTGATGTGGCTCCAACTGGTTCAAAGCTTGAAACGTAACGGTACCTAAGTTAAATTTAACAAAGAAATTCAGACTACAGAGCCAAATCAAAGAATGAAGCTGTCCTGACTTGCTGTGTGAACCAGTCAGACAATCAGAATTTCCGCTAACCCGACCGATAAGTTTGAGTAACATTTACAGTATAATTTAATGACGAGTCCGCTGAAAGGAGGCAATTAAATAATTAAATACAGAATGAAATAACTATAGACTGAAATGTTAGAACTGTAGCTATACAGTGATATGTTTATATTACTGATTTTACGTGTTTTTTTATTTTTTCAAGGCTGCACTAGAGCTGTTCTTAATGAAATTTCTTTTTGTTTACACTTGTGTATACAAAATAACAAAATAAATCTGGCTAATCTCTAATATATATATATTTAAATGAATTTGTTTAAAAAAACATATTTAAATATTTAATATAAAATTTTATTGTTTTATTGTTCAGAATTTAATGCCACATATAGTCTTTTTACCATCAACCATAGCCTGGAATTATCCACAAAGAGAAATTAATCATTCAGTTCATTCACCCCATAGGTTATCCCTACTTCGACAGTTAGCCCTAGATCTGCTATAAATAAACTATTACTGGCACATGGGACTTGAGATATTTGAATCAAACTAAACTAAGCTGGAACTTGTATAGGTGAGATGTTGTCAGTACACAGTAAAAAATTGGGTGTTCAAAATTCCTTCTAAACTCTAAATGGACTATTTACAACTATGTTGGTTATGTTAATGCATTTAGCAGACGTTTTATCCAGAGCAACTTAAAAATTAGACAAAATTTTACTGATTGTAAATCCGCTCAAGTTTTGGAGTTAATAATCAGTGTAAAATTCAACACCCATTCAGTGTAACTTTTACTCTACATAGTGTCGATTAACCTCTACTCTTTGAGAGGTCTTGTGGATTTTGACACTAATATGAGTAAATTAATCTTGAAAATCTGACACTAGCTATAGAGTAAATTCTACACTCTTTTGGTATGGGACCAAATGTTGAAGTAACCCTCGTTATTTTACTGTGTAGCTATTAATACAAAAGATAACGAATTGGATGACTGAGAAAGGAAAAAAATAAAATAAACACAAACCAAAAGAAATGCTATATATTATAGATTTACATTAAAATAGATTCTGCATCAGGCTGCTTCAATCTCAAAAGTGAAAAGTTGGAAGAATGTCATTAATTTATAAGTTTGAGTTAGCCACCCTACAGCAGTGATGTTTATTCGAGCAAAATAAAAATCTTTCTCTTCTAAACTTTCTGAGGGATATTGTACTATGTCACTTTGGTTGCATCCTATTTAGCAATTTCTATCATTAATTGACAGTAGTAAGTTTGGCTTATGCATGACAGAGCTATCATTTTCTAAAATACTCCACTGTTGAGTTTTTTTTCTTTTTTTAGGTTTTATGCAATTAAAACCTAACAACCAAATATGGCGGATGTTATTAATTTCCAGCAAGGTCTACATGAAGCTTTGTTAATCTCTTTGAATTTTTCTTTTCAAAGCAAAGCATCTGTCTACAGGTCATGTCCCCTCTTTCTGTGTTGATGGTGTTGATGGTGGTTGCCACAGCAACAGGGGCCCGTGCAGACAGTGAGGAGAATGAGTTGGAATATGGGTACTGGAACTACAGAGAAGGAGGTATAAATTTGTCGGGTCAGTAAATCACAGAGCAGCTGAATGAAATGAGTATGAGCTCGTTTAAATTGAAGCCGGACGTGTCTGTCTGCTTTCAGCTGACAGCGTTAACGTGGCCTCTGTGCGCAGTGTGACCAGAGTTTTGGACGCTTGGGGAAAACACATCTTCAGGGAAATAAAGACTTTGCTTCACTCTCAGCCAAGCGCTCTGCTGCCAGACTACTCTAGGTAATTTTAAATAAACTTTTAAATAAAGTTTGTAAAATGAGCGGCCATATGCAATACTGGAAAAAACAAAGCCAAATGATTTAAAGATTTAATTTGCTGTTAACATATATAGGCTATTGGATGGAATACTATCCAATATATATATCCAATATATTTTTCTAAGTGAAATCCACAGTTGAAAGTAGTTGATTATGAGTTTTGTTGATCTATGTGATGGATATAAACAAAAAACATCCATGATGTCTGCATGTATTCAGCCACATGAGTCAAACACCCAGCAGTGCACAGCACATAAAGAGGAAATCTCTTGCAGCTTTGCATAGCTAAACATTTTTTTTAATTTATTTATACCCTGAACTCAAATGTTGAACGTAATTAAGATTAAGTAATTGTTAGTGATTTTGTAAAATCACTGCTAACTCACATGTGTTGACTCAGTGAAGCAACAATAAGATCCCATAGTTAGCAATAGACCAACCATATATGGAAGTAATCAAATCCCAGTGACACATATTTACTTCCATAAGCATGAATGAGGTTTCTGTCAGATTGAATAGGGGCTGTTCAATATTGCTGGGCAGGTTAAATGTCAAAATATAAATATACTGTCCTGTGTAAAGAAATTAATTGTGCTAATAGTAACTGGTTGTTATTATACCAAAATAACATACGTGTTCATATAAACCTATTATTAAATAACAATACAATTCTTGATTTTATATAAACAAACATATCAAATAAAAACCTTAAATAGTTGTAAGTAAAATGTTCTGAGCTGCTGTCATGATTTTTTTTAATTAATCTAAATTCTAAACGGAGGACAACTTAATAAAAATAGCCATTTCTGATAACTTGCAATTGAGTTAAGAATTTTTGAGGCAACTGACAGGCTCAAAATGTTTGAGTTCTGTTTGCTTATTCGGGTTTATAGTGTAAATATAAATTTAAGCTGAATCAGACCTTCAGGGAAAAATCTAATAGAAAGTTTTGCCACAGATTCTGGACTTTGCATCTAACATCTGTCATTCTGAGGTGAAAATATAACAACCAAGGTCCTTAACTGTTCAGAAGCTGAATAAGTAAAAACTAAACAAACAAAAAATATATAAAAGAAAAAAAATAAAAGAAGGTAATTAATTCACCAGTAAAGCCGCCTTAAGTTCAGGATTCTAAAACACTAGGCTTGGATTACATTTAAAGTGATCAGATATTTTCCCCATGAAATAAACTAAAACACTCTTCATGTTTAAATAGTTGATATGTTGATTTCTCTGCTATCATGCACTGCAGAAAAAAATAAAGCTGTATTTAGCTGTACCATCTTTCTCAAGAATGGGCTTTGGAGAAAAGAAAGACAATAAATTAGGTCATTAATTCTCCCGGAAACCTTTTTAATTTTTTCTCTAATAAAAATCACAATCTTCAGGGTTTTTTTTTTCATTATGGAAATAAAAGAATGGTTATTTTCAAATGGCCTTGCTTATACAAAAAACTTGGACTGTGAAGTTTTAAAGTCGTTATTAAGGTCTTAATATACTAGTTTATATGTTTTTTTTCCCTCAGGCTATTCCAATTAAATTGTGTTTTTGTTTGAACTTTGATTATTTTTTTAACTCAACTTTAACTGAAGACCTAAAGATGAATTCAGTCTTTGATCTCAGAATTCTGACTTTTTTTCAATTCTGAGTTTTTTCCAATATTAAACTGAAATAAAATTTAAAAATCTGTTAACTTTTTTTTATTTTTTCAGTGGCCCTAATGCTCCTACGTAGAAAAAAGAAAACAATAAGCCAAAAAAAAAAAAAAATAGAATAGTACTATAAATAAATATAAATAAATAGCAACACTCACCTCTAAAGAAGCAGGTAATGTTTTCCAGTAGGCCAGGTTCCTGATAAACATGAACATCTGTATGTGATAGTGCACTTCCTCTGTTCTTCCTGCAGGGTGCGCCCTCTCTCCGAGTCTCTTAACGACCTCTTTAGGGAAGTCTCTCTGCTGCGCCTCCGTATCACTGAACTCTCCCATCGCCTAGCAACGCTGGAGCCCTACCTCCGTCGCCACGGTTACCACGGTATGGAAGAGGCGGGAGGTGGCAGCAGGGCTCAGAGTCTTCATGGAGAGGTCTCCTTTCTCCCCCCTGAGAGCAGAATGAGGGTGAGGGGCAGTCGGGTGGTGAAGAGGAGACGGCTGAAGGTCCCCAAGAACAGAGGTTCTGGTTCAGGCTGAGGGAGGAAGGGAAGAACACAGAGAACCATGTATGAATTAGGGAACTGTGATGTATGTGAAGCTGACAAAGATGCAAACCCAGAAATAATGACTTGTGACTGTGAGACTTGACCTACTACTCTTTATATATTAATATTTAGGCCACTTTATATTTGTTCCCCACATCAGTTGGCTTTATTCCAATCAGCTCCAGCGGCCGGGTCACACGCAGCATCTACTCTAAGTTTATCCCCAAACATACATTTTATTTCACTACTGAAGAACACTGAGGACATTTGATACCTGAAATATAAAACCAATAAGTAAGGCCGCCTTGTTAGACGGATCTACATCTTTCATTGTCCAATGGCTGCTTTAAGGAGACAATCTGCTGGTGTGATTACTTAACTTTAATTATCCTAATAATAATATTAATTACCGCAACTATGTTAAATATACAATAAACAGTTTTTCTTAGTTTATGTTTTTTTTTGGCATTATACTTTCAGTATCTCATGTATGTTGTTCTGTTGCAAATTTTTGTATAATAAATATTAAATCATGTAATAGGCTTCGGTTCCGTCATCAATAAAAAAGATCAGCTGTACTGAAGCAGGGGAACCTCTAAAACCTGCAGGACAGCGGACCTTGAGGACTGAATCTCGGCATACCTGCAGAAGATATTCGCATGCATGATGTTAGCTCTCCAGTAATCCCTCACACCGAGCATGCTTGTAGCGACAGTGGAGAGAAAAAAAGAGCACTCCAGCAGAACCAGGCTCAGTGTGAGCGGCCTTCTACCAAGGCTGACTGGGGTTTAAGGAGACAGAAGCAGAGATACAGAAAGACCATGGAAGCACTGATCTATAAACACTTTCTATGTTATTAAAGCTAACGATAAGCTAGCTCTAGAGGAAAGCATTAAAGGAGCTCTAAGCCAGTTCGCATATCAAAAGGGATGAAAGAGAGCACATGCAGTTAGAGTAAAATTTGTATCCTCAAATTTTTTATCAAAATACATTCTAAGAACATATTACCAGCAAATTGTGACTCATATTATTTTTAGACACTGAGATTAGTCAACAGCTGGCTAAAATGCTTAATCTGTAAAATCATTTATTGTTGTATAATCACTTCGACTTAGTATAGTTATCCATAAATGTTAGTTCCTTAAATCTGCTATGAACACATTGACATTAATTTGTAAAAACTTATTCTAAAACATACAATGAAATTATTAATTAGATATTTAAATATCAAGTTGTAATAGGTTTACATTAAATAGGATTTTTAACAAAAGGAAAAAACAATATTTTCCCAAAACATACTTCATGTCAGCATCAGCATAGACAGAATTATTTCTGCCACAATCTAATGAAATGGGGCGGCCTAATGTCAAATGTTAGTTAATCACTCAAATCTGATTAAAATTGTTGTTCTGCTAGAAGACGCTTTGACTAAAGATGATTTAAATTCCTCCAAGAAGATGAAAAAGGACTCTTTGGAATCAGAAATGCTTGGTTTCACTTGTTGTTGCTATGGGAGCCAAAACCAGTTTTTAGGTTTAATGTGTCATTATCTTTCTTTTTTTTTTTTTTTTTTTTTTTTGCTCTCTGACTTTGTAAAGTGTATTTTGCATACCCTTAAGTTATCTTTGTCTGATATGAATGCTGTCTTATATTAACGTCAACACTTTTTCTGCCTAAATTCCCCAGCATGTTATAATGGGCCATAAACTCACACAAAGCAGTTTGAGGGTCAGTAAGGGCTGACGGTGTGCAGCGGAGTGATAATCTACCGACTGACGACTCTCATTAAATTTCCATTGAATGTTCCAGCTCTCAACACCGCTACCTTAAAGGATAAGGTGACATTTCTTCCACACATCATGTATCAGGCCACAAAAAGGTCCTCAGGGAATGAGTTGATATAAATCTTCAATCGTCTGGCTGAATCGAATCAAAGGTTACTCTCAATATTGCAATGTTTTTAGACCTGGCTGTGCTGCATCTTTAAAGAAATAAAAATTATTATTATTGGCAATTATTATAATTTAGAAATTAATAAATAATTTTAAGGCCAATACCCTGCAGATTATATAATTCTAATAATTAACAGGGGAGGAGAGTGACATTTTAAAAGATACTATAATGGAGCATGAATCAAAAACTATTTGGTTTGATTTAAATGAGAAAATGATCAATACCCTTTATATATATATATATATATATATATATATATATATATATATATATATATATATATATATATATATATATATATAATATAAGCAGATAAATATTCTAATGTTACAGCAATCAAACCCTCATATAACCGCGGATCTTTTTCTGATTTCTGCTGGTACTGCTTGCAGTTATTTATCTTTGATGAAGAACTTGGTAAAGATATCAGGATTAATTAAAATCGGAAAAAGTATGACCTATGGAATAACGAATATAAAAACAATCCTTTAAATGTATTAACAGGTTGTAGCTCCCGTAGCATCAAGAACTGATACCAAGCATTCATTAACTAATGTGAATCTTTTATTCAGTGTGTTATAGATTTAATGTCAATAATGAAAAAATATTCTAGTCACAAAAAGTGTCTCAAACTATAACTTGTTCTCTGTTTAATAACCTTGTGTGTCACACTAGGTGAAGTGATGTCAACACTTTAAACACAGGTCAAAAAATCAATAGTTCTAAAAGCCACAGAGATGATTTTTTTTCTTGCTTGCTTCAACAAAGCAAAAACACATTGGACAGAAACAAAGCAATGTTTACATATTCAGATTCTGTGAAATCCTAATTTAAATATTTAATTATTATACACATCTTAAATATTGAAGCATTTATATAGTTCAGTTCATTAAATTGTGGCACTTGACGTGATTGTCTAAAAGAGGTTGCTGCTGCTCATAAATACATTTTAAAATACCTCAAAGAGTATGAAAACATTTCCAACTAGTTTGAACCCATCTGGATAATTATTGAACCCGCCATGGGCTCTGACTCTAAACTACTCTATCTTCATGCAGGAATGAGGTCTGGATCCACAGTCCGATGATGGCAGGTTTCTACCACAGGGTGTCAGCACTGGCCTGCTGCTGTGCTAAGAAGTGACAGTTACTCCTGATCTTTTTTGGGTTCCTCTCAGCCCAAGTGAGGAACGGCCCTGTTACACCCAGCAGGGTGGGGGTGAGGATGCTGTTTATTATCTGCTAACATAATTTCCGCCCCCGGGTTTCTTTTCTTATGGTGAAGCTGTGTGCTTCTGCTGTGTTTGTGGGCACAGACGTGGAAGTTTAGGCCTTCATTAAAACTTTGCTAAGTGTTTCCAGAGCAACCGGCTCCCCTTTCCTGCAGATTGTCACCCTCTCCGCTGCGTGGCGTGGTCCTCAACCTGCAGCTTCCCTTCTTCCTCTGCTGTTTCAGCCTCTTCCTCTATACTGTAATCTGAACATCACCCCCCTTCCCACCCCTCTCCTCCCTCCTTCCTCCATACTGCTCGGTGTGGGCGTTAGGCTCAGGCTGTTCTTTCCATTTTGGTACTTTATTGTCAATGCATTGTTGCATCCGATCCAGTGAGGATGCTGTGGGAATACTGGGTATCTCTATTTCTCTGCCGATCTCTCTTTTATCATCCCTCCTCCCTCCCATCCCTGGGAAAGAGAGCCAGTTGCTAGGTAACAGTTAATTGTCAAGAAGTAGTTGTATGTGTTTCGCTGCATCCTGAGTTTGTTGGGTTTGTGTAGGAGCCAAACAAGTGGGCAAAATAAAGAATTTATTCTTCCACCTTTTGAGAAGATAAAAGTTTTGAAATAGATTCACCTTGTTCTCTGTCAGCATCCCGGACTGCAGATGTTAAAGACTCTCCCTCCCAATCTGTGTGCAAGGCATTGGTACTTTTTTCCAACGTGCTGGTTTCTTTAAATAACTCCTGTTGCTGGACAAGGCTTTCACAGTGAAGGGTGAGTCTGAGGAGTGAGCGAGGTTTGGAAGCTTTGATCTGTTCTTCTCGGCACAGTTTGCATCACTTTCCCTCTCTCTCAATAGATCCTCTATCTGTCTTTCTTTTGCACCCAAACACTCCTGTCTGTGGTTGGAGGGTCTTCCACGCCAAGGGTCCATCTTATAGTGGCAGACAGAGAACAGCAAATGAAACATGAAAGAGTAAACAATGAAAGCTATTATCTCCGATCTGCTGATGAGGGAGAACTTGAACTTAACACTTTATTTTCATGCCCGGCAGAGAGAAAGAATGGACTTTTCTTTTAATACATATTTCTATGGAAGTTTATTTTTCATTTATTAAATCTGAATATCTGTCAATTTTTTTTTAGAAAAAAATGACTATGAAACGAGGAAAAGTTACATTTGTTTTCTTTCTTTTTTTTTATCAATATTACTTAGTGCAGACATTTAACTGCATAAATAAATTGCAAATAATAAAACAGACAAATACACTTACCTGATTGTTAGGACTTGATGGCTTCCACATTCAGGGGTCAAAATGAGAAAGAGGTTATGATTGCAAAACAATAAACACCTCTACAGGTTTATATCAGCTAATCTGTTAATGTAGAACAGAATTATGAGCCACTCTGCATTAAGAAGTCCCACACATGTGGAAGCGACTCTGGTTTGGAAAACCTCATCAGTGAACCCTGGACCTCTTTTGTCCCACTGGTACAATAGGAAGAAAAACTAAATGAACTTTTGAAGTAGTGCAGATCCTGAGTGAGAAGTAGATGAGAGAGAAAAAGAAAAACCATCATTGTTCACAGTTGCCTTCAGTCAGTGAAGGCTTCATTAATGCCAGATGCCACACTCCAGATTTTCATATTCTTTAAAAGAAGACGTTTTCACACGTCATTAGGAAAATGTTCTAATTATCAAGTAAAATATGTAAAACTGATCTGACTGTATAGTTATTAATTGGAATATTTTGCTGCATTATGATACAGAAACAAAAAACAAAAATATGTTTAAGTAGATTTCAGTTAAGACAAAAAAATGAACATTCCTACAAATTTCCTGAAAGCATCCAGAGATAGAAGGGTTGAAGTAATTATATCCCGATACGATGTAGGAAACGGTTCTGAAATCAGCCACAATATGAATATTCTCAGATATAAGCTAATAGAAACGCTCCACTTTTATCGTCTTGTTTAGAGTTCATGTCACCTAAAGGTTAATAATAAATGATTCCATTGTTCCCATACCAGTTGTTGTTGACTACTGTTCTCCATTTAGGTAATATCACCTAATCAAACCTTTTCCAATATCATTACAAAATAAGGATTTTTAATTGCTGCTTATATTGTATCGGTCAATACTGGTATCAGTTGATACTCAAAGCTTATATATCTGCAAGGAACTGGATGGCTAGAGCTATTCATAAACCAAAACCTGCTGGAACACAAGTGTTTCTGTGCATAAGAAATCAAACTGATCATCATC